ATTGATATTATATATTATATTATTGCAACTCGGGCAAGTACTTATCTACCCCGTTACAATGAATATTGAATTAATAATATTCTCTTAAGAGTGTTAATATTACAGGAAAAAAAAATATGACGGTCTCTCATAGAGGCGTGAGAGCGATAGTAGGTATTTTACGAAAAAGCTCGGAATCTTTTGCCAGCGATAATTGATGATCATCTCATATTATATTCTTATTATCGGGTCGAGATGAAGTTTTTCTATATTTGGCCCCGAAATTTGTTAGGCTTTGTTCAGATAAGATCACCAGGAAGTGGGGGGGGAGGTCCAGGGTGTAATTTGGCCCCCTTGCATTTTTTTGCCATCAAATTTAGAAACGCTCTGATAGCCTTGTAAACATATATAATGAAAACCATAAAGTGCATAATTTAATAGGTATGTATATTATTAGTATGCACGACAAATACTATTTCAAACTACATACATAACCTACCGATTCCTTTAATTAGTTAAAACATTATGTATACAACGCTTCTACTCCTTACCTGGATAGGTACTTAAAATACATTTATTTATATCACGATGAAGAAAAATTGGCCTGCTGAAATGTTGACACCCCTAGTACTTACTCAAATGTTGCCACTGTATATTGTAGTACCTACGTTTTACACGCCAGTACACATTTTATATTGTATAGTTAAAATAGCTTATGCCCCATAGTCGACATGATAATAAAATAAACAGATAAATCCGTAAATTAATCGAGTATATGAGGGGGGGGGGCTTTGGATATGTTAATAATACTATGATCATCAACTGCGGTAGCAATTGTAACTTGGTAATGGTATAATCACTGGCGTGAAAGGCGCGTTGCCGTTAATGAGAGCGAAAAGGTTTTAAAATACGTGGTATCCGTGCTAGTACCACCTACGATTCAACTCATTTTCTATTCCACTGCCTTTTTTTCCACATCGAAACAAAAGCCACTACTATGCTCGTAACATAAGTCTTTTGCGTGGACTTGCACATTATCTGCAGCGCCAGATAATTCCAAACACTTTTTTCGTAATAATATACGTACGACTGCCGCCGTCTATATTACTATTATTATTGTATCACGGCCGTCGTAACCCTTTTTCGTCCCCGGAGATTCGTATACCCTTTGACGTGCCACACGTATATACATGTACATTGTACAGTTGTTCCACCCAAATCGAATTACGCCCGTCCCGGTCGTTTTGCTCGCGGCAGCGTTTGCGCACCAACTATTATGTATAATGCACATGATAACAATATATATTATGTATTATGTGGACTGCAGTCGAGTGTCGAATTACGCTGTAGTGAAGTCGGGTGGTCTAGTTCGTATTTGTTGTTGGGTCGGTACAGGAACGTCGAGTGCCCAACAATACGATACAATAGTACTGATATTATGAGTATATTATAAAAAGCGTTGGCAAAAACATTGATTAGGCATTTGTTTCTATGTCGCCATCAATTCATCACATATCATCACATATAAGTTCATAAACACTAGACCTCGATATTCGAGAAACGACGATAAGAGATATTATTAGAGACGCGTTCGACGCAAAAGGTGCGCAGCTATATGATAGACAGTCCTATACTCGTCTCGGTCATTGTATATAAAATAGTACGCAGTAATACCACTAATGTACGATTTTATTTAATGCATTTGTTTCTAGAGCAGTCTGAACAAAAAATGTATAATTAATATAATCAATTATGTTGGATATTGTGTAACCAACCTAGGTGGTGAGAATTATTATTGGTGAATGTGAAGAATTTCGCTCTCCTAACTCCCAACCGAGACATCCAATATCTCTGAAAATAATAATTTCAGTATTAAAGTTAAATTATAGAGCACCGATGTATTAACGTTATGGAAGCGTTTAGAGTTGTGACTAGGTTTAAAGTTCGAAAGAATGTTGGAGATATATATTTTTTTAATCAAAAATGGCCTGTATTACGTCTTTGGGCGTGCACATTGGATTATTTTTGTAGCAGAAAAGAACTTAGGGTACCATTTAATAGTCATAAGAACTGTACATTTTTACTTACAAATACATTTTTTAATTTATCAAAATGTACAATGCTTCTACTCAATAAATTATAAAATAAATTAGTTTTTTGAAAGTTGCAGTTGAGATTGTATTATATGATTCAAGTTGGACATCTTTTAACTATCTAAAGATTAATTAAATTCAGAGTAAGAGCTGTACTTGTTATATGTTCAGGAAAATCATGTTCATTATTATAACTTTCATACATATATATGTATATCTTTTATATCATATATATTTTTTATGAACATTTTATTTCGTTTTTAATATCACCGATGCATTTCGGTTTTAATAGGATTTTAATTTTGTAATTATTAGTTATACTTGTTATATTTTTATGAACATTTTATTTTTGAACATATCATGCATTATAAATTATTTATAATATATATCGGGTACTATTGAATCAGTATGTTCTTGATTTAACTTACACTTTCATTTACTTTTATCAATATATCATATTATGAAGTGATTATTCAATATCTTTGAATATTTTTTCCGGCCACCCTCCTGGGTCCACACTTCCGTAAGGCTCTACCTCCTGCCTATTATTTACTCACGAAAGCTATTTATAAGTCATTTTCTATACTACTTTTTGTTGGAAAAAATATTAGCTTATCAGTAAAGAATAATTGGCAAAAAGAAAACAAGAAAATGTATGTGGATAAAGCCCTATAGGTAGAGTTTATTATGCTGTACAATAGACTATTAAATATTCATAAAGTACCTATTGTGTTTAAATTTGATTAAAATACAAATTTAAAATTATAGAAATATTGAATACTTTGAAATAAAATTATATTTATTTTTGAAGACTGGAGTAGATTAGAGTTAGTCAAATTTGAAACATTTGAAACTTAAAAGTTATTTTGCTAATCAGTGTGACCATCTAGTTGTTAGTTATGACTTATGACTCAATAGCAACTACCTATTTGGTTATTTGAACATTTCATTTAAGGTGAAATGTTGAAGTTTAAAAATTAAAATTCCTAAGATTTTATACCACTCATTCAAATAGTGTAATTTTGTACCTTTGTAGGACTACGATCGTTGGAAATCTGAAAATTAAAAAAAAACTAATACAGCAGCGCAGACAGGGTAGTTACTTCGCAAACGCTCAGAATAATTCTACACAACACCAATAGATGGCACTTCTTGTCATACAAATATGAACATATTTTTTAAACTTAGTTGGTCACACGATACACAGTGTCAAATGTCAATATGACGCAATGAATGCAATAATAAACAAATTTGTAAACCACAATAGTCAACAACTCAGACATTCCTCATTAAAGAAGGGACATCATCACAGCATATTGCATAATAATAATTTAGGATCAAGGAAATGCTCATTATGAAATTATTAAAAATATATTAATTTTATTCTAAAGGTATTCATTACACAATTTTATAAACTCAATATAGGTAGTTAAATTTAGAACACTTACAGTGTACATATACAAAAAAGATAAAATAATAATGTGTTTGGAGTCAAAACAGATGTAATAAAATTACACATGTTAAACAATGTTCCAAAAATATCAAAAATTTAATTTAATCGTATTTAAATATAAATGTATAATAATGAATTCGTTTTACGTCAACTACTGTGCAACATTATAATTGAATAATTATTATATCTGTTCAAGCCACGTTCTCAGTTCCGTTCGAACTCGTTCGCAACCGAATTGTTGACAATTACTAATATTTAATATAACTTGATCGAATTTAATTACCTATTCTGGTATTTAGCCGTCACACCGTCGACTTCTGTGGTATCTGCCTGCAGTTATAGGTGCATGCGAATTATAGTTGCTTATGATATTTCAGTATATTTTACTATGCAGTTTAACTCTCAAGGCGCTACCCCGACGAACTTTTTTGTAGTAGTTTACGACGGACAGCTTGGTGGAGAGGATGAGTTTTGGGAGTTTGGGACCACTTCCGAAGACCCAACTAGGTCAATTGCTTTGCTATAAGTTTAGCGGTGTAAGGAGGTGTTTCGGCATCACAGTTGTAAAGTGTTTATTTATTTTTAGCCAACAGGTAGTATTGACTCATATCGATGTCATAGTTAAATTTTTGAAAAATGTTTGAACACACTTTGCACTTCAACTGTATCGACGCAGACTGATTAAATATAAATTATAATTATTAATACTGTTGCACCCAATACCTGTTTTACTATTACAGTTAGTCGGTAAACGATTTTTCTAATATTGTTATTGACCAATAGGTATATAAGCTAATATAAATATTATAGCTGCATATTTTATGAAAGTTTTCCAAGTATAAAATATATTATATTTAGAGTCCACTGTCTATGACAGAGGTTCTCAAACTTATTTTCGCTTACCAAAAGTAAAATGTGTGTAACGTGTTACATCGACGACTAAAAATAAAATTATACAAAACTACCAATTCCCGAACATTTGTAAATTATAATGAGCAATTTTAATATGTATATTTGTATTGTGTATCTGTGTTGACTAATGTATTTCCAATAAGTATCACAATTTACTACAGTTCGGGAACCTCTGGTATATTTTACTAAACGTGAAATACAACACAGTATTTTATAATGTTTAATTTGTTTATCCTGTATTTTTTTTTTTTTAAATAATTCACTAAAATAATTTTGAATTTATGGTTCATCATAATATTACGATTTTCATATAGTATACAGAGTCTGCGTCAGAGTTTAAGAGGGTCGATTTATAGGTGACCAAAAATATGCATACCTACACTGCAATACACTGATTTCATAAATCAGATATACCGATCTTACCGATTTATCATATAATAGAGATGAGTGTAACCTAAAAAAATTATACACACGTTCGAGAAATAGGTACACATAATAAGTAATAACTACCGGCAAATCAATGTTAATCGATTATAATCATTATAATAAACAAACAACCGCTACAATGATTATTATTATGACATGTTTTTTTTTCATGAAACGTTATTTTGAGCAGACTATATTATGTAATATATTTATTAATATCTTTATAGTATCGAAAAACCGCGTTCACGACAAAAAAACAGTGATGGAATTACATAGTAAAATATATATCTTATAAAAGTAGTGACCGCTGCTGGTGAGAAACGTCTAGTCGGACACAATAAAATACAGGATACGATTTCCGTTGAGTGGAAAACTTAAAGCGGAAGACAATTTTATAATATTACATACTGACTAACCATAATATGACGGGGTTTAGCTTTTCGTGATTTTCTTGCGGTCAGCCGGTTTTAGTTCTTTCGGATCGACTTTTGTGGGCACCACTGCCGTCGCTCCGTCAGCCTCTCCTCCGGACAGCTGCTGGACCTGTTGGACTACTTGCGGGGGCTGTTGCTGTTGTTGTTGCAGTTGCTGCTGTTGCTGTTGCTGCTGCTGTTGTTGTATTTGTTGTTGTTGTTGTTGTTGTTGTTGTAGTTGCTGCTGTTGCAATTGCTGTTGTTGTTGCAGTGATAGCTGTCCGGCTGTTCTCGAATATCCGCCGTAGTTGTACGGGTCCGGTATCGACATAATCGTCTCTGGCCGGACGGGCATGTAACCACTTAGCGCGAGCTGTCGCCTGTCAAACGGACCTTCCGCTACTGCGGCAGCCATCGACCGAGCGACCACCGCTTGTTGCGGGAACGGGCCCGGGAACTGGAATTCCGGTTCCGAGACAAACCGCTCCTGCGGCTGCCATTCCGGTCCAGCGCCACCTTCGTATCCATACGGGTCCGCTGACCTCAGCAACGCTGGCACGAACAGCGGCGTGGGACGCATCACCACAGTTCTAGGGCGACCACCGCCGAACCCTTTGCGGGCCAACGTGTCCTCGTTCGGTCCCGCCTCCATGTAGTTCTGCGTCATCGGTTGCATGTTACTATCTTCGTATACGCCCTCGGCACCCGCCATCTCTTCGGCATCCTCTGCTGTCCTCGTCAAAACGGCCATGGGATAAGCTCCGTCGGCCATGCGGTAACCACCGCCCGAGTAACCGCCACCCAAGTAATTTCCACCCAAGTAACCGCCATCCGAGTAACCACCGTATTGCGAACACGGAGCCTTGTAGGGTATCACTTGTGCCGCCGGTTTCTGGTAGACGACCGTCGGCTGGTAGTGTACCAGAGGCTGTTGCTGCTGCACATACTGCACCTGAGGCACCTGGTGGTGCACCACTTGCAACTGTTCGTAGTTCGGCTGTACTTGGTGCTGGGCGACCTGCGGTTGCACGTACACGGACACCGGTCCGGCCTTGGGCTTGTGGAGGAGGTCTAAGCATTTTTCCGACGGAACTCGGGCTTCGGCGGTCGTCGACTGTCTCTGTAGCTGACTGGCTATGATGGAGGCGAGCGTGGGCGGTGCCGGATCGCCGCAGACGATCGTTTTCTTGCCCGTCTTCGACACGTCCGCGTACACGCACTGTTCGTTGCTGTTCTTCGACCCGACGTCCTTCTTGACGCGCACTGACGACGCGCCGACGACCGTTGCCGCGGCCACCACGAGCAACGCTGCGACAATAACGCACTTCATGTTAGTGTTGGGTTGCGTCGGGTGTTTGTGGACGATTGATTGGCCCGTCCGGCGATCGATGTCGGTATAGGTTCTGAGTGTCCGGCCACCTGCGATATATACACGGGAAGACGGTCGCGTAAACAAAATAAATGTGCTGACCGACGGGAAACCGTTTTGCAACCTTTCGTTAGCGGTCCTCCATAAGCTAAACATTCAACACGGACGCGAATAATTACGAAACGGTATAACACGGTATTATAGGTGTAGGTGACCATTGTATTGTATAGGTAATTATTAGACGACGAATGTAAACCAGGTCGATGTTATAAATAATAACATACCCAATGATAGTATATTATGTATACAAATCGATGATCGACAGCGAATGTTTCGCATAGCTCTACGCGAAACTGTAAACATTACTTCCACTGCCCAACAATTACGAGCAAACAGTACAAGTCATATAGACGGGCCTTGAGGTTTTTTTTTTCGATTAATGTGACGAGGAAATATACGATTACACCGATGACCTCATTAAAGAACGAAGAGTTGATTTTCTCCGTGTAGGCAAGTGCGAGTAGTCCAATTATTTATGTACACGATTTTAGGAGTTTATACGAAAACAATTGTCACTAAGACAATAGTAAACAGTAAAGCACGCGTTTAAAAAAAATTTTTAAGTACAATAGATACATTTTTTTTTTCATAAAGCTGAAGTATACGCATAATAATTAATGCAGAGCCAGCCAGAATACTCTACTAATTTTAAGTGATAAAATAGTCAGGTTTCGACAAAATAAATAGTTGTCGTATTGCTTCATAATAAATGTAATGTTAGTAACCTCTAAAACGATATATTATACTCAGTGTTTACATACTCAAAAATAAAAATGAATATTATAGGTGGGTAGGTAGGTATTTGATACATATAACTATTGGAAATGAGTGTGCTTACAAATTAAACGAATAGTTATTGTAGTAATTTATAGCTTAATATACAGTTTTTGAAAACATATTGCATATTGTCTAAAGATTAACACTGAACGAACTAGTTATTTTGTTGTATTTACATATAATTATTTGTATTAATCGATCTTCAATGAATAGGGTACTTGGTTAATACTAATTAAAGCATAATCTATATTATAATTACGATGCAATTAAATAATTCCCGTTGTTATTAATGCCTTGAGCGATTAACAAGATTAGTAATAATAATAAATAATATAATGTTCCTAGATAGGTATTACTTACGCTGTTTCAACACTTTCAGAACTTATAAAAAAGAGAACATCATCGTGAATTTCTATGATAAATTAATAATAATCCATAATATTTTCATAATATTAATGTTAAACATGCCCACACACTACACAGGTATTTTATTCATACTATTGATTGTTTATTTAGTTTTTAGTTACTTTTTAAGTTCATATGACTAAAATAACCTACTTACCTATCATTATTCTACAAAATTGAGTTTAAATGTTTAATTTAAGTACATAGTTAATTTAAATTTATTTATTAATCAGTATAATATTTTAATATTTATATATTATAATGCTGTAATTAAATTAGATATTATAATGTACGATCAAAAAATAAAACTAAGAAGTGAAAAAACAAAATAAGCTTTATTTTTATTTCTTATACAGTTGAATATTTAAATTGTGGCATCAAATAACAAAATATGTTTCGTGGTATTTTATTATGTATACTGTTAAAATTAACATATTATAAAATAAAACGAGAGATGAATGAAAAATTCTGAGTTACCTAACTATTGATTTGACGATTTGACTACTTTTTGATAATTGGTAATTTTTATCACTACTGTGGTGCTTATCACGACGGTTATAAATGTATATTATAACAAAATTACAGTAATTTAGCGCTTATAGTGCTTATATATACTACTCGTACAGTCGTACAGTATAAATAAGTGTAATAATATTTCTGTATGCCATACAAGTTATACATGAAAGATTGTAAGAGACTAGTAACGTAGTTAAAAAGCAGTAGTGACATTTTAATATAATATTGGATACAATAATTTAATACAATTATTTACTTGACTCACATACTAATTAATATTAGTATTATAATTAATAACCCTGACATTGTTGCTCTATTATAATAAATAATATTTTAAATAGGTAACATTTAACTTAAAATTATAATGTACCTAACTATTATTAAAATATAATTGTTTTGTTCTCTTCTTATTTCAAACCCTGCAATAATAATATGTACACCATAATATAATAGAAAAAAAAGACTGATAGTTTCGTCTTCAAGTTTTATAGTAATTTATATTTCAATTGAATATTCAAAATCCCTTTATTACTATCCAAAACAAAATAAAATTCATAATATGAATTAATTAAAAATCTTTCGCAAAAATACAAAACCCATATTGACACAGCACATTATATAGGTGCATTTTGAATTCGTATTATATAGTGTTCTTTATCGTACAAAACATATTATTGTACCTATATTGAATGAAAATATACATGTTCATTATAGTAATTTTTATTATATTTTACAACTATTAGTATTACAAAATTACTGTATACCTAATTTTTAAATTTAAATATATTTCAATATTTAAGTACACTTGAGTAGGTGAATATAATTTAAAAATGATATAATAAATAATAGGTGTAACAAATTTGGCTTAAAGAAATACCAGTCAAAATCAAAGGGTTTTACAATTTTCACACACCATGTCACCTATTTGGTGTCCTTATAATATAAAAGCTGCATAATTCAAGAGCCAATAAATTAAAAATAATTATAATAAGTGTACAATGGAAAAATATACAATCACTACTAATATTGAGACAACATAATTGAATACATGTATACATTCAAATGTATCATTCAATCCATAGTACAATTATCAGTAATAGGTAGGTAAAATAGTATCTATTTAAACATAACAACAGTAATATAAAGGTTTATATTACTTTAAATGAGTCATAATTTCTAGCCTCACTCAGAAGTCTGTTCATCTTCGAACGTGGCTGATGAATAGTCTTCGCCATCGTCATTTTCGTCGTCGTATGTCACAGGGTGTTGTTTGTCGTTGGGGGGTGTGACTTTCTGACGAATCACCTGTCTTGGGCCCATACGCTTGGCTCCAGAATCGTTTGAGTCTTTGTCCTGTTCGACGATCATGTGGTTGGCAATGGTTTGAACCTTCTCCTGGGGCGTTGGTGGTTTCTTGGCTCCACCATGGGCTGCGACTTCCGGCACAGCTTTCGGTAGATCCACGGCACTCAAGGTCCCGTTATGGGTGGTGGACTTCGTCTTGTTGTCAACGAACGTTGCCAGCTGGCTGACGAATGCCGGGTTCTTGCGCATTTGGTCCAACATGAGCATGGCGTGCTGCTGCTGTTGGTAGTACTGCTGCTGGATCTGCTGCTGGACAAGTGAGAACTCTTGCTGCCGCCGCTGTTGCTGCTCGTACAGTTGCTGCTGGAACTGTTGTCGGGCCAGGGTCTCTTGTTGGCCCTTAAGCTGATTGTAGAAAGCGGTCAGCTTCTCTACGGTTATAGCCGACGATGTGTCGTTGCCTTGCGAATGGTCGGCGACGACTGCCTTGCACGGTACAGCAGCCGTTACTACCTCCGCCTGGACGTGGCCGACCAGTGGCGGTGATTTGTTGGCATAGTGGTCATCAGAGCGGCTAGACCGGAAGGAAGACGGTTCGGAGAGGTCGGTTGGAGTGAGTTCGATCACCCTCGAGGACGAGGCCCCGGGGAAGTACTGAGCGAGCACCGCTTTCGCGTAATCGTCCTGCGTGTAACTCTGGTACGGTTTGCCGGCCACAGACACCACGTTGGCCGCGATGGCCAGCAGTGAGCATGCGACGACATGACGGCCACAGTGACTACGAGTCTTCATATCGGGTCTGGTCAATTAAACGATGATTCTAAATAATAATATAATATTATCGTTGACGTCGAGTGCAAGTCTTCGTCGTCCTCCTCAGCTGTGCAGTGAAAGTCGCTGACGACGGAGTTTGGGCTCGAAGTATTCTTCGTGTCTGATGGGAACGCGTCTCAAAGTGTTATGTCCTGGTTGACGTGTCCGATCGCCTATTTATGAGCTCACTTTGCAGGTGGTATTTTTTATTTTATCATTTCCACGAAGATAACGCCATGAAATCTGATACGGCGCGATCACACGATTGCTTCTAGCCTGTCGTTGTTTTGAAAATTCTAGAGATAGCGCCGCGCGTCCCGAATATTTTAGAAAACAATTTTGCAAAATATCAAACTTGTTTATACGGCGTAGCAGCACGTAACGGCCTCGCACTCATTAACACCTGTTGATTAAATTATAATAATATATTATTGTAAAGTCGCAAATCATCGAAAGAATAATACGTATTATAGGTACACAATATTATGGTATATGTAAAATGTCGATACGAAACATCGTGGAAACTGGAAAGCTCCTAACTTGTTGGCACAGTTAGTGAAGACCCGCCGGCGACGATGTCCGTTGTTGAAAAAGATTGTTGCACCTAAGAACAATAATTATAAATAGGTAATCGAGTAAGTGAACTCTACAATTATTTTTTAACAATATGAGTGATTGATAAGACGTGATAACTGGGAAAACGATCAGAATTTCCAAACAGCAATGACGATTTTACTTCTGATTTTACCTTTTCCATAAATGGTGAAGAAAAAAACGTGTTTGTATTATATTATGATATTAGGACCTGCTCCTTTCCCTATATTTGAGATTTATTATTTATTATTAGAACATTTATATTCTAAGGGCTATACTAAAATAGTCAGCTAGCAGTATCTGCAACAAAAGTTTTTATTCTGGTTTCGAAGTACACTTGGTACCTGTTTTGAACATTGCAAAATCGCTATTTTAGGATATTTATTTTCGGTTAAACACTCCCTGCAGTATTGCCAGTAGGCGTTACAGTAGCTGATATTATAATTATTTGACAAACAACCAGTCTTTGGCAATATTGGTAATATCTTTAACGTTTTATGTTATTGCATAGCCACGAGATCACTCAAATTTTGATATCGAAGACGTTTTAGAATGTATTAAATATTATGATTATATGAAATAAAAT